CTGCACTGCGGGACGGCAGCGCCCGGCAGCAGCTGTGGGGCGGCCCCACAGTGCAGGGATGGCGGCGGCCCCAGCCATGAATGCTGGGGGGCCGGGACCAGACACCAGCACCGCCACTGACCTCAAAGCTGTGAGTGCCCCCAGACCCCAAAGCTGCGAGCGATCCTAAAGCCTCGAGTGCTCCCAGACCCCAAAGCTGAGTCTCCCCAGATGCCAAAGCTGTGTCCCCAAAACCATGAGTGTCCCCAGATCCCAAAGCTGTGAGCAATCCCAAAGCCTTGAGTGCTCCCAGACTCCAAAGCTGCGAGCGATCCTAAAGCCACAAGTGCTCCCAGACCCCAAAACCATGAGTGTCCCCAGATCCCAAAGCTCTGTCCCCAAAACCATGAGTGTCCCCAGATCCCCAAAGCCACAAGTGCTCTCAAACCCCAAAGCTGTGAGAGTCCCCAGATCCCAAAGCTGTGAGCGATCCCAAAGCCTCGAGTGCTCCCAGACCCCAAAGCCGTGAGTGTCCCCAGATCCCAAAGCTGTGCCCCCAAAACCATGATTGTCCCCAGATACCAAAGCTGTGAGTGATCCCAAAGCCACAAGTGCTCCAGATCCCAAAGCTGTGAGCGATCCTAAAGCCACAAGTGCTCCCAGATCCCAAAGCCGTGATTGTCCCCAGACCCCAAAGCTGAGAGCAATTCCAAAGCCGTGAGTGTCCCCAGACCCCAAAGCCGTGTCCTCAAAACCATGAGTGCCCCCAGATGCCCAAAGCCACAAGTGCTCCCAGACCCCAAAGCTGTGATCGATCCTAAAGCCACAAGTGCTCCCAGACCCCAAAGCCGTGATTGGCCCCAGACCCCAAAGCTGAGAGCGATCCCAAAGCCACAAGTGCTCCCAGATCCCAACACCATGAGTGTCCCCAGACCCCAAAACTGCGAGCGATCCCAAAGCCTTGAGTGCTCCCAGACCCCAAAGCCATGAGTGTCCCCAGGTCCCAAAGCTGCATCCCCAAAACCATGAGTGCCCCCAGACCCCGAAGCTGTGAGTGCTCCCAGACCCCAAAGCTCTGAATGTCACCAGACCCCAAAGCTGTGAGCAACCCTAAAACCACGAGTGCACCCACCCCAAAGTTATGGCTGTCCCCAGGCCCCAAAACTGTGAGTGACCCCAGGGTCCCGACGCCACCAAAACTGGGACATTTCCCAAGAAATTTCCACCACTTTTCCCCCAGCTGCTCCCCGTGCCGACGGGCGCCACAAAAATCTGAGCTGATTCACCAAAATTCCCACATTTTGCACCAAATTAAAAAAAAAAAAAAAGCACTTTCTGGGTGGATTCCTGCAGCGCGAGCAAAGAAAATTGCAACCAAAATTCTGCCATTCTCCTCACAAAAAGCCCCTCCTGGGGGAATTCCTAAGGGCAAACAACCAGCATGACCACATTCTGCACCAAAATTCCAACATTTTCCCCGAAATTCGCACATTTTTCACCCAAATTCCCACATTTAAAAGAAAAAAAATGCAGCTCCCGGGCGGATCCCAGCACTGTAAGCTATGAAAATTCCAACACTGTTGATGGAAATTCTGATAATTGCACCCAAAAAGAACTCCTCCTCAGTGGATTCCTCAGTGCTCACCACCAAAATTAGGATTTTTCATGAAAATTCCCACATTTTTTACCAAAATTCCAACGTTTTCCACAAAAAACCCACAGCTCCCAGGTTGACTCGTGGAACATAAACTATGAAAATTTTAACACTTTTCATGAAAAGTCAAATATTTTCCCCCAAAAAACTTCTCCCCATGGATTACTGAGCGCTCACCACCAAAATTCAGACATTTTTTACCAAAATTCCACTATTTTTCACCAAAATTCTGACTTTTTTTTTAAACAAAGCCACCACAGCTCCCAGGCAGATCCCAGCAAACTATGGAAATTTCAAACTGTTCATGAAAATCCCGATATTTTCACCCAAAAAGAACTTCTCTGCAGTGGGTTCCTCAGTGCTCGCCACCAAAATTTGTCATTTTCCAACAAAATTCCAACATTATTCCACCAAATTCTGACATTTTCCTCCTAAATTCTGAGATTTTCCCCAAAATTCTGACATTTTCCACCAAAATCCTGACATTTCTCACCAAAATTCCAACATTTCCCCCAAATTCCAACATTTTACCCCCAAATTCCAACATTTTTCCCCAACCTATCACAGCTCCCAGGCAGAACTGTGCAATAGAAGCTATGAAAATTGCAACAATTTTCATGAAAATTCCAGTGTTTTCACCCAAAAAGAACTTCCAGGGTGCTCAACCCCAAAATTCCAACACTTCTCACCAAATTCTGACTTTTTCACCAAAATTTTGACAGTTTTCACCAAGAAAACCCTCTTGTCACATTCCCAGGATGGGAGACACCAAAATTAATTAGAGGGTTTGTTTGGGAGTTAATTAGGGGAAACGCTTTGTTTTCATTAACCAGGAGATCTCATTAACCTAAATGGGATCGTGGGGTCATTGGGGTTGGAAGCAACCTTTAGGACCACCAAGTGCACACATCCCCACCACGGACACCAACCTGTGACCCTAAATGGGATCATGGGGTCATTGGGGCCAGAAGCAACCAAACTGCGACCCTAAATGGGATCATGGGGTCATTGGGGTCGGAAGCAACCACCAAGTGCACACAGCCTCATCACGGACACCAAACTGTGACCCTACATGGGATCGTGGGGTCATTGGGGTTGGAAGCAACCTTTAGGACCACCAAGGGCATGCAGCCCCACCATGGACACCAAACTGCGACCCTAAATGGGATCTTAGGGTCATTGGGGTTGGAAGCAACCTTTAGGACCACCAAGGGCACACAGCCTCACCATGGGCACCAAACTGTGACCCTAAATGGGATCGTGGGGTCATTGGGGTTGGAAGCAACCTTTAGGACCACCAAGGGCACACATCCCCACCATGGACACCAAACTGTGACCCTAAATGGGATCGTGGGGTCATTGGGGTCAGGAAATCCCTTTGGGACCACCAAATCCACCCATCCCAACCACTGCCACCAACCACAATCCCAAATTGGATCATGGAACCATCGGGGTCAGAAAATTCCTTCAGGACAACCAAACCCAACCACCACCACCATCACCCACCAAACCGCGCCCCTAAACGGGATCATGGAAGCATTGGGGTTGGGAAAGACCTCCAGACCCATCACCACCCTCACCCACCAAACTGTGTCCCTAAATGGGATCATGGAACCATTAGGGTCAGGAAATCCCTTTGGGACCACCCAGACCATCCATCCCCACCATGGCCACCGACACGTGACCCTAAATCGGATCACAGGGTCAATAGTTTTGGAAATGACCTTTAGGACCCCAACCCCACAAAGCCTACAAACCACATCCCTAAATACAACCATGGAATCATTTGGGTGAGGAAAGATCTTTAGGATCACCAAGCCCACCCACCACCACCGTCATTCACAAAACCACTGCCCCTAAATTGGACCAGGGAATCATTAGGGTCGGAAAGGACTGTAGGATCACCAAATCCAACCATCACCTCACCAACAACGTCCCCAATAACCACGTCTTGAAACAGAAAAATTAGTGTGGAAAACAACCTCTGGGATCGCCAAGACCCCCCATCACCACCATGGCCACAAACCATGACCCTAAATGAGATCACGGGGTCATTAGGGTCGGGAAAGACCTCCAGCATCGCCAAGACCCCCCATCACCACCATGGCCACAAACTGTGACCCTAAATGGGATCATGGGGTCATTAGGGTCGGGAAAGATCTCCAGGACCACCAAGACCCCCCATCACCACCATGGCCACTAACCACATCCCTAAATAGGTTCATGGGATCATTAGGGTTGGGAACAACCTTTAGGATCACCAAGTCCAACTGTCACCACCATGGCTACTGAACCACATCCCTAAAAAGGACCACGGAATCACTAAAGTTGGGAAATTCCTTTAGGACCATCAAGTCCACTCAGCACCACCATCACCCACCAAACCACGTCCCTAAATGGGATCAGGGAACCATCAGGGTTGGGAAATCCCTCTGAGACCACCAAGTCCACCCATCACCACCATGGCCACTAACCATGTCCCTCAATAGGACCGTGGAATCATTAGGGTTGGAAATGACCTATAGGATCACCAAACCCCAAAATCATCACCGTGTCTACTAACCCTGTCCCTAAATAGGATCATGGAGCCATGAGTGTTGGAAAAGATCTTTAGGATCACCAAGTCCACCTATCAACGCATCTCCAATGTCACCACCAAACCCTGATCCTAAATGGGATCAGGGAATCATGGGGGTTGGAAAACACCTTCAGGACCAGCAAATCAAACCATCACCACCAAACCACGTCCCTCAATAGGGTCATGGAATCATTAGGGGCAGGAAATCCCTCTGGGATCACCAAATCCACCCAGCAGCAACGTCACCCACCAAACCATGGGATCGTGGAACCATTACGGTCGGCAAGGATCTCTACAACCACCAACTCCAACCATCCCACCATGGCCACTAACCGCGTCCCTAAATAGGATCATGGGATCATTAGGGTCAGAATTTCCTCTAGAATCACCGAATCCAAAAATCATCACCAGGTCCACAGACTCTTAAATAGGCTCAGGGAATAATTAGGGTTGGGAATGACCTCCAAGATCACCAAGTCCCACTACCAACTCATCACCACTACATCCACTCAACTTGTCCCTAAATAGGATCGTGGAGTCATTAGAGACAGAAATGACCTATAGGATCACCCAATCCAACCATCACCAACAAACGGTGTCCCTCAATAGGATCATGGAGTCATTAAGGTCCAAAATCCCTCTGGGACCACCAAACTCACCAATTGTGACCCACCAAACCCTGTCCTTAAATAGGATCATGGAATCACGAGGGTAGGAAAACACCTTCAGGACCACCAAACCCACCCATCCCCACCATGGCCATAACCATCACCCCACATAGGTTCAGGGAATCGTGAGCATTGGGAAAGTCCTTTAGGATCATCAGGTCCAAACATCACCACCATGGCTGTTAAACACATCCCTCAGTAGGGTCATGGAATCATTAAGATCAAGAAATCCCACATGAACCACCAAATCCATTCACCACCAATGTCACCCACCAAACCACGTCCCTAAATGGGATCGTGGAACCGTTAGGGTCAGGAAATCCTTCTGGGACCAACAAGAGCATCCATCCCCACAATAGCCACTGACCAACACCCTAAATAGGGCCGTGGAATCATTAGGGTCCAAAATCCATCTGGGACCACCAAGACCATCCACCACCAATGTCACCCACCAAACCACGTCCCTAAATGGGATCATGGAACCTTTAGGGTTGGGAAATCCCTCTGGAACCACCAAATCCATCCACCACCAGCATCACCCTTCAAACCACATCCCTAAATGGGATCATGGAACTAGCAGGGTCAGGAAATCCCCCTGGGACCACCCATCACCCCCACCCCACATCACCACACCACCCCACATCCTCCGGCCATTTCCCCCAATTCCAGCCCCTCCACGGGGCTGAGGAGAGCTCCCTTACCCCAACCCCAGCACATCCTCACCCCAACCCCAGCACATCCTTACCCCAACCTCAGTGCTCCCTTACCCTAATCCCAGCACACCCTCACCCCAATCCCAGCACATCCTCACCCCAATCCCAGCACATCCTCACCCCAAACCCAGCACATCCTTACCCCAACTCAGTGCATACTTACTCTAACCTCAGTGCTCCCTTACCCCAATCCCAGCACACCCTTAACCCAACATCAGTGCTCCCTTACCCCAATCTCAGTGCTCCCTTACCCGAATCCCAATACATCCTTACCCCAATCTCAGCGCTCCTTTACCCCAATCCCAGCACACCCTCACCCCAATCCCAGCACACCCTCACCCCAATCTCAGTGCTCCTTTACCCCAATCCCAGCACATCCTTACCCCAACTTCAGTGCATCCTTACTCCGATCTCAGTGCTCCCTTCAACCTCAGTGTTCCCTTACCCCAATCCCAGCGCATCCTTACCCCAACCTCAGTGCTCCCTCACCCCAATCCCAGCACACCCTCACCCCAATCCCAGCACACCCTCACCCCAATCCCAGCACATCCTCACCCCAATCCCAGCGCATCCTTACCCCAACCTCAGTGCTCTCTTACCCCAACCCCAGCACGCCCTCACCCCAACCCCAGCACGCCCTCACCCCAGCCTCTCCTTGCTCTCCTCCGGCGTCAGCTGGTCGAAGGTTTTGGCCTCGTCGGCCCCCAGGAAGGCGTCGTGGTCGTAGTCGAAGCTCTGCGCGTCGTCGTGCGCCCTGTCGCTCAGCGGCGCCTCGTGGTGCACGCGCTCCTTCTTCTCCGTGGGTTTGCTGCCCACGCACCCCACGCTGAGCCACAGGAACAGCAGCAGCTCCAGGGTGCTCATGGTGACCGCCGCCGCCTGCGGGGAGGGGGTGGGGGTGTTAATTAAGGGTGTTAACGAGAGGGGAATGAATGGCTGGCGGAGGAGGGTCGGTGGGATGGAGAGGGGTGGGAGGGAGAGGGTGGGAGGGAGGGCAGGAGGAGAAGGAGGGAGGGAAATGAGTGGAGGAGAGAAGGATGGGGAGAGATGGGTGGAGGGAGGAGGAGGGAGGAGAGAAGAGTGTTGCAGAGAAGGGTGGAAGGAGAACGGCGGAGGAGGGAGGGAGAAGGGTGAGGAGAGGAGGGTGGGAGGGAGGAAAGGAGGGAGAAGGGCAGAGTGTGAATCTGTACCAACAACCCGCTGCTGTGGCTGAGCACCGCCCGGTGCCCCCAGCCCTTCCTGCGCTGCAGATGCGGGGCCGCACCGACCCCCCCGGGGCGGCACCCACAGCCCCTCCCTCGGAGCCGCGCCGGCGCCCCGGGGACACGGCGACCCAACCGTCCTGGGGACGACCAACCAGCACCGGCCCCGTCACAGCGGAGGGTCAGCCAAGACAAACAGCGAGGGCAAGGACAGGCGGACGGACAGACAGATGGGCGGACAGCACACGCGAGGTGTCCGGAGGGTTTTGGGGTCAATCCCAACATGGCCTGAGCGTGGGATCCATTGGGTTGGCCATTAAAGATCCCAGCGCACCACGGATTTGGGATCCATTGGGTTGGCCATTGGGGATCCCAATGCACTATGGGTTTGGGATCCATTGGGTTGGGATCCCAATGCACTATGGGTTTGGGATCCATTGGGTTGGCCATTGGGGATCCCAATGCACTATGGGTTTGGAACATAGACATTTGCTCTCTGGGGATCCCAACGCATCACAGGTTTGGGATTCATTGGGTCGGCCATTAAAGATCCCAACGTACCACAGGTTTGGAATACAGACATTTGCTCTCTGGGGATCCCAATGCATCACGGATTTGGGATCCATTGGGTTGGCCATTAAAGATCCCCATGCACTATGGGTTTGGGATCCATTGGGTTGGCCATTAAAGATCCCAATGCACCACAGGTTTGGGATACAGACATTTGCTCACTGGGGATCCCAACGCATCACGGGTTTGGGATCCATTGGGTTGGCCATTGGGGATCCCAATGCACCACGTGTTTGGGATCCATTGGGTTGGCCATTAAAGATCCCAATGCACCATGGGTTTGGAATACAGACATTTGCTCACTGGGGATCCAACACATCACAGGTTTGGGATCCATCCGTTGGGTCAGTGGGATCTCAAACCATCGTGAGTTTAGGATACACGCATTTGGACTTCAGGAATCCCAAAACACCATGGGTTTGGAATACAGACATTTGGCCACTGGGGATCCACACACACCACAGGTTTGGGATCCATTGGTTTGACCACTGGGGATCCCAATGCACCAGGAGTTGGAGATCCACCAGTTTGGCCATTGGGGATCCCAACACACCACAGGTTTAGGATCCACTGCTATGGCCATTAGGGAGCCTAATGCACCAGGAGTTTGGGATCAGTCAGCACAGTCATTACAGATGACAATGCATCCCAAGTTTGGGATGTGTTGATTTGGCCATTAGAGATCACAACACAGACCCAGTTTGGGATCAGCTGGTTCATGAGCGGGGTCATCAATGGCCATGAGTTTGGGATGCGTCCACACAGCCATTAGGGATCCCAACACACTGCAAGTTTGGGATCCACCTCCTTGGTCACTGGAGATCCCAACACACTCTGAGTTTGGGATCCAACCATTAGGGATCACAGCTCCACAGCTTTGGGATTTGTCTGAGAGGGATCCCAAGGGTCTGGGGCCCAACCAGCGGCTGGTGGGGATCCCAGCACACCACAATATGGGATCCCAGCACATCACGATATGGGATCCCAGCACACCACGACATGGGATCCATCCTCTTAAACATTATGGACCCCAAAGCGACACGGACCCATCAATCTGGTTACCAGGGATCCCAATACACCGCAAGTTTAGGATCTGGCCATGAGGAATCACAGACCTCCACAAGTTTTGGGACCCAATCATCTGATCATTTTGATCCCAAATGCACCCGGACTTTGAGATCCACCCATCTGGCCGTTATGGATCCCAATGCAGCATGGATCCATCCATTTGGTTACTGGCAAACCCAACACACTGCGCGTTTGGGATCTGGCCATTAGGGATCCAGGGGCACAAGAAGTTTGGGACTCAACCATCTGGCCAATGGGGGATCCCAATGCTCTGTGACTTTAGGATTCACCCACTTGGCCGTTGGGGATCCCAGCACTCTGTGACTTTGGGATCCACCCATTTGGTTACTGGAGATCATAGCACATTTTGAGTTTGGGATCTGGCCATTAGGAATCACAGAGCACCACAAGTTTGGGACCCATTGGTTTGGCCACCTTTGGGATCCCACCATTGGGATCCCAGCACAGCGTGAGTTTGGGATCCAACCGTTAAGAATCTCAGAGCACCACAAGTTTGGAACCCACTGGTTTGGCCATTGGGAATCCCAACACACCACGAGTTTGGGATCCATCCGTTCGACCACTGGGGATCATAACACACCGTGGGTTTGGGATCTATCTGTTTGGCCATCGGGGATCCCAATGCAGCATGGATCCATTTGCTTGGTTACTAGTGATCCCAACAGACCTCAAGTTTGGGATCTGGCCATTAGGGATCCTGGGACAGTACAAGTTTGGGACTCACTGGTTTGGGGATCCCAACACACTGTGAGTTTGGGATCCATCCATTTGGTTACTGGGCATCCCAGCATACCTCAAGTCTGGGATCTGGCCATTATGGATCCCAGGTCACCACAAGTGTTAGGACCCATTGGTTTGGTTATTGGGGATCCCAACACATTGTGAGTTTGGAATCCAACCATTAGGAATCACAGAGCACCACAAGTTTGGGATCCACCCATTTGGTTACTGGGGATCCCAACACACTGCGAGTTTGGGATCTGGCCCTTAGGAACCACAGAGCACCAAAAGTGTTGGGACCCACTGGTTTGGCCACTGGGAATCCCAACACACCATGAGTTTGGGATCCATCCATATGGCCACTGGGGTTCCCAATACAGTGTGGATCCCTTTGTTTGGTTATTGGGGATCCCAACAGGCCTCAAGACTGGGATCTGGCCATTAGGGATGCCAGGTCACCACAAGTATTAGGACCCATTAGTTTGGTTATTGGGGATCCCAACACACAGAGTTTGGGATCCACCTGTTTGGCTACTGGGGATCCCAGCACACCTTAAGTTTGGGATCTGGCTGTTAGGGATCCCAGGACACCACAAGTGTTGGGACCCACTGGTTTGACCCCTGGGGGTTCTACCATCCCGTGATTTGGGATCCATTGGTTTGACCATTGATGACCCCGGCACCCCGCGATTTGGGATCCACCCACGTGATCACTGATGGCCCCAGCACCCTGTAATTTGGGATCTGTTGGATTGGCCACTGGGGATCCTACTACCCCGTGGTTTGGGATCCATTGGATGGGCCATTGGGGATCCCGACACACTGTGAGTTTGGGATCCAACCATTAGGAATCACAGAGCACCACAAGTTTGGGATCCATCCATTTGGTTACTGGGGACCCCAACACACTGTGAGTTTGGGATCTGGACGTTAGGGATCCCAGGACACCACAAGTGTTGGGACCCACTGGTTTGGCCATTGGAGATTCTACCACCCTGTGATTTGGGATCCACTGGATTGGCCTTTGATGACCCCAGCACCCCATAATTTGGGACCCATTGATTTGGCCATTGATGACCCTGGCACCCCATGATTTGGGATCCACCCACGTGACCACTGATGACCCCAGCAGCCCATAATTTGGGATCTGTTGGATTGGCCACTGGGGATCCTACTACACCGTGATTTGGGATCCACTGGATTGGCTATTTATGACCCAATTATCCCATAATTTGAGATCCATTGGGTTGGCCATTGATGACCCCAGCACCCCGTAATTTGGGACCCACCCACGTGACCACTGATGACCCCGGCACCCCGTGACTTTGACCCCCCCCCGCTTTGGCCACGGCTGACCCCGCACCGCACGGCGATATTTCAGCCCCACCCGCGGCTCGCGGCGCAGCCTCACGCGATGGAGCCGCGCCCGGTGGGACCCCACGGACCCCCGACCGACCGACAAACCGACCGACAAACCGACTGACCACCCCCCAGCAGCGCCACGTGGCTCAGCACGGCGGATCCCCGCGTCCCCCGCGCTCAGAACCGTCCCCACACCCGTACCGGCCGTCACCGCCTCCGTAGCTCACGGACCCCACCGGGGACCCCCCGGAGACTCCCCTGAAACCTCCACCAGGACCCCCGGGACCGGAACATCGCCGGGCGCGCTCCATCACAGCGGCTGCTACGGCGACAAGGGGCGACAAGGCGCGACAAGGCGCGACAAGGCCAGACAAGGCCAGGCCCCGCCCCGCAGCAGCACCGGGCAGCGCCCCGTCCCTCCGCCCACCCTCTCCCACCACCCCTCCCCCCGCCGTTACCCGCCGCTCCGCCGCCGCCGCCGCCGCCCCGCTCCCCGCCGCTCCGCTCCACCGACCGGAAGTAGCGCCGCGCCACGCCGCACGCTCTCGCCTCCTCCCGCCCTCCTCCTTCGCTGACCAATCGGAGCGCGGCCACGCCTCTCCGGCTTCCGAACGCGGCGTGCCGATTGGTTCTCCTCACCGCCCGTCAGAGAGTTGTCCCGCCTCTCTCTCTCCGCCCTCCGTAGCCCCGCCCCCTCTTTCCCCGCCGCGAGCGCTGATTGGCTGCAAAGCGCCACGTCCTCAGGCGCGCGCCGCTTGCTGGCCACGCCCACCCCGGCGCCTCCCCGCACTGCGCGTGCGCAGCGAGGGAGCGGAGGAACGGAGCGGCGGTCACGTGGGTGGGGGGGGGGCTCGGATGGGGTTTGGGATTGGGGTCGGAGTTTGGGTTTGGGGTCAGGGTTGGGATTGAGGTCAGATTTAAGGTTTGGGGTCGGGGTTGGGAAGAGGGTCAGCAATCCAACCCAATTTACTCCCCCCCCACCCTAATTAGAACCACAGAGTCATTAAGATGAGAGCTCTGGGGTCCCCAGTCCAACCCCAACCCATCCCACCGTGACCCTAATTAGAACCGCAGGGTCATTAAGGTCAGAAGAGAGCTCTGGGATCACCAATCCAACCGCAGTACCCCCACCGAGATGCTAATTAAAACCACAGAGTCGTTACGGTTGGAGAAGACCACGAAGGTCACCAACCCCAGCCAACCTATTAGAAGGTCACCAACCCCAGACATGACCCTAATTAGGAGCACAGAATCATTAAGGTCATAAGAGTTCTCTGAGATTTCCCATCCAACCCAACACAACCCAACCCAACCCACCCATCCATGGTGCTAATTAGAGCCATAGAATCATTAAAGTCAGAAGATGTTCCCATATCATGTTCCCAACACAGCCATGTTCCTATAGGATCACATGACACCCCAACATGGCCATGTTCCTATAGGATC